CTGAAAGAGGATGTTAGGCAGCGTGCAAACATAATTGGGATTGTTTGTTTTTCAATACTGGATAAGAAGGTGTGAGGACAAATAAAATACAAAATGTAAAGGATCGCTATTCCAGATTCCTTAGATTCTTGCCTCCCCACCCAGATTTTTTAAGAACGCTGCAAGTATGCTACTGAGATGCATGGTGGTGTTCTTTATAGCTCTGCCCAAGATCTAACCATTACTGATTAGTCATGTTTCTCATTGCGCTGGGTCTTTACCAACAACTTCTGGGGTGTATTGCTGTTTTTACAAACATCTTTACCAGGCTAAAATAGTTCCAGTTTTTCACAGTAGATTTCTTGAGTTAGTAACTAGAAGAAAAAGTCGCAGGAGCTACCATTTGATAAAAACCAGTGACAAAATGTTTTCTCCTGATCAGTGCAGCACTAACTAGCTGTATAACCAGTCAGAGGGATTGAATCTGTCTAAAAAATGGTATTTTCAGGGAAAGGACTGCTGAAAATAGAATTGGGGAAGACGACTTTCTCTTGTTTGTACTGACTTCCTCTTTCAGGTTTGTTCTTTGCTGCAAGTACCATTCAGGTACCTATCAATTTAAAAATGTATTTCATTACAAGCAGAAGAAGTAGTGCGTTAGCAGTTTAGCCTTCCAAATATTTGACTTGTTGAGCCCTCTCTCTGCCATCCTCTTTTGTAATGGTTTCAGAGTATTGGCAGTCAAATCAGTATATTTGACTTTTGGTGTAGTACTATTTGGTTTCAGCATCCATATAAAGCTTACTTAGGAAGAAACACAGACCCCACAAATTTAAAGATGGCATACTGTGAGAAATAAATGTTTATTACTATAATGTTGCCTGTCGGAACATTTTTGGGTTCATTTTATTGCATCAGTGTATTCAAGTTTTGGGGCTTAGACTGGCTGAATGCACAGGTGTTAAAGGGACATTAAATTAATCAAAATGTATGAGTTTGCCTTTTTAATGGAAAACGCATTTCTTCTGCAGCTAAAGAAAGATAACATCAAGCTTGCTGAAGAAAAAATAATCCTTGCCTAACTGTATGCCTGTGTGTCACTGATTTTCAAGACTTGAGCTGATGATATCCATTAAGCTTGATTTCAGTGATGGATACAAAGATTAACCTTGAATATCTGAGTGGTAGTGACATACTTGAGTCTTGCATCAGTCAGTATTTGGTCAATTATCTAAGTATCACTGCAAAGAGAGCAGACTCCAGCTGGCTGTAATTAGGGCTGAATTGTTCCATGCCTTCAAGACAATTTTTACATTCATGGGATCTGCAGCTTTCTGTTGTCCTCATTTCCTGTAACATAAAAGTACTTGGATCGCAAAGAATTAAAGGGGGGCAAATGGTGGGAGAGGCTGTACGGGCAACTCTTGCTAACAATAGCTAATAACATCCTTAGAGGTCCAACTGAAATATGCGTTGTAAGTCTCAAAAAAACCCCAAAAACCCAAACACCAGGAGTCCTAGCCAAAAATAGTTATTTCAGTTGGTTAGAAGAAAAGGTGGATCTTTAGAAAGCACAGCGGGTTCTATAAAATCGGAAATCTGTGCTCTGTAAATCTGTGTCTTAATGAGAGACCACCAGCCTGTGTAGGAAGAAACTGGGATAGCAAATCAGGAGCGCATGTGACATAAAACAGTCAATGAAGATTCAATAATTCAGTAGCCATGAGATACAGCACTAAAAGTGTGATATATCACATCCAGTTTGTTGAAGTAAGTCTCCCTTTTTTTTGTCCTTATGCTGCTGAATTACTAGCACTGCAGTAGTGGCATTCACTTTTATGGATGTCCTAGCTTCAGGAAACACTCCTCATCTTGCTTTCTCCCTTCAGTGCTCCAGTCATCATAACCTGTGCAGCCTCTGTTGTTACCAGCCTTTATTTCAACTCACAATCAAGACTAGCAAGTTTGCAAATCATTACTGTCTTATGGGAAGAAATAGCCTTTTGTTTAGTTTGCATGTAAAATTATGCATTGGTATTTCAGCAGTATCCGATGTGGAAGGTATGTGCCAGGAACTGTGCAAAAAAAGGGCAATTCACATCATAATTTCAAGAGCATCTGCAAGTAGATTGTACCAGTCCATAGCCCCACGTGAAGTACACTCGTCTGTATCTTGAGAACAGGTAAAACAAGGTCAGCTCTCTTGTGATTTACCTGAGCTACTCTCAGTTCCCAAGGAAAACATTTGGCCCTAGGGAATCTGTTGGACAGAAGAATGGTGCTAACGTGCCTTCATAAAACTTGCTACTCTTCATCTGCCAAAATCCCTACTGACCACCACTTCTTGGGGTGCGGTGGAGCTACAACAGCTGCCTCACCGCTGCTCCTGGCCACACAGTGTCGTCCCCTCTCAGTCTGAGTGTTTCGTGCATAGTGCTTATCTTCATGAGCCCATTCAGCTTGCTGACCTGGCAGAAAACCACTCTTCCCCCCATCCGCACGTTTATTTGCTGCAGTTTGAAAGCTGAGCTGCTTCAGAGGTGTCAGAACAGCAGAGCCAGTATGAGAGGAATGGTGACGGTACATGAAGGTGAGCATCTTCAACTAATTTTAGTTTGCAAATGTCTTAGAAGCATAAGGACCCAAAGGAAGTTAACAAAACTAATAGTTGACAGAGAAAGATGTACAAGTTAAATTCCTCCTTTATTAAATGCAAATAAAATATTTTCCTAGGTAGTAATACTTGCATGTCTGTTCCTGATTACCTTCATATCTGTCTGCATTTTCTTTTCAGATTTACATCTATTCAGACAGGCATCTCCAGCAGTGGTTGTGCAGATATCTCCGAGCTGCATTTAGAAAATGTTTTTGCAGTGTGATCATTAAGTGTTCTGCATGTGAGCAATCATTCTTCAGTGCTGTGCCACTGTTCACGAGACAAACATAGGTAATTAGTGCAGAAGTGCACTTTTAGTCTTGCAAGTCTGAAGTGTAGAATATACCCACAAGAAAACAGATTTTATTTTGTGTGCTGAAATAAACTTTTTCAATTTTCTTTTGTGTACTTCATTACATTTTTAATAGGGAATTAATATATGTTTTGCTATTTAGACAAGAATGCTCCACTTGCTGAACTGCTGCTGTGAATGTTAATATTCTCTAAGCATAGAATTTAGAATCACAGATTCTGTGTATTGACTGAAAGTAAGTGTCTTAATCCTCAGTATCTAGATAATTTCCTAGAAAGTTTACTATGACAACTATGGAAAAACAACTGAACAGATAAGTAGCTGATACCCACATTTGTATGTACATAACTGTTTCAGCCCTAGCCATACGCTAGGAAATCACACCGTAGAATGGCTTTCACATGGTTTGATATGAGTTGAGTCAGTCTACTGAATTGATGACCTGTCCTCCCTGCGTTCTCACAGGCCCACCCTTCTCCTTCCCTTTAGCCTGGGCTAGCGCTTAGGCAAAGGAAAGGGAAGCAGGGGGAAATAATTAAATTCCTTCCCACCCCATGAGAGTTCCCTGTCTTCAGTTTTGGTGTCCAGCAGGGGCATTTGCTGCAGGGTCCCATAAGCACCAGTACTGGAGGCACAGCTGAGCAGTGGCTTGTAGCATTAAACACACAACCTACAGAACTAGGACAGGGTTTACAGTGTTTATAAACCACACAGCCACGGTCTCCATTTAGCATGCTTATATTTCAGTGGTTTTCAGCAATCTATAGACAGTACGTTTTCCAAACACATTAAAAGAGAATTTGATTGTCATGACAAAACATTAAAGGTACAACTTGCAAGAAAGTCCAGGAGCTCTTCAAAACTTCCTCAACTCTGCGTTAGGGTTCATGAGGTGATTAATCCTACGGTGATCCTGTGTTCCCAGCTGCCTCACCTCGTGCAGAAGTTTAAGCATGTATCATGCATTTTGTGTTACAAAGGGCTACGTAACTTCCAGCATGAGGGATAACATTTCATAATTGTTCGGAGTTGAACCTTGACTGCAATAACTGCTCACCCTCTTTCTGCAGCAGTGTGCCACAGAAGAAATGGCTTTTGTGTTGAAACATGATTGGAGTACACTGTAATGTTCAACGCATCATTTTAACGGTACTCTCAAAAAGCCTAGTATCTTGGTACATTATTACCTCAGACTCTGCAGTTGTTGTTTCTTATTTAAATGTCCTATCTCACTTGAGAGTTAATGTAATTAGAACCAGCCTGTGGAAAAATCTTTTTCTATTATGTCTTCGCTATTGTTCCAGTCAAGATGGTAAAGCAAATCAAATGGGATATAATGAAAATGATAAAACCATTTGCAAGAGGCAGTTTTCCTGAGGGAAGTAAAAGGCAGCACCACTTTTCATTTTGCTTTGTATTTCTAAGTATGGTTTGTGCCTGGAATAACTCTACTGAGACTTGTCCGATACACCTGAGAGCAGAGTCAGGTACATCTGACAGCAATCTGATTTGACTGATGCGAGAGGGAGCCTAAAGTGCCGTAGCAATAAGCCTCTTCCGCTATTAATGTTGCTTTACCACCCCGTTCAGCCAGCACTAGGTCTACTTGCCAGCTAAGGGATGTGTGAGGGACTTGGGTCTACGTTAATAAGCATCTCTGTAGATTTTCTTTTTTTTATTCCTCTCAATATAGCATCTTGAATGGGGACATATGTCCTGAGTGTGGTATCTGAAAAGATACTGCAAAGATACTCATACCCAAAGCTGTAGTGTAGCGTGTGTTTCTCAGACAAGAAGTGACGTTCCTGGTACAAAAGGGTAGGTAAAAGGATGTCAGAAGCAGTGTCGTTTGTCTTGGTCTGGCGTGGAGGCAGGATCACAGCAAGGCAGGAGGCCGAAGCTGGTCACTCACGGCTGTCTCTGCTTGCTGAGGAGTTCAGATGTTCTTACTCTACAACTTTTAGCTCTTGTATTAGGTTTATAATTCTGTATCAAAGCTGTTTTGCAGTATCTTTTCCCTTTTGTGCACAAGCCACTTGTGAACAGGCTTTTGTATTGTCAGCATGTATTACAGTAATCTGTATTAATTCACAGTAGTATTGATAAACTTTAAGTCAGAGAGGCTTAATCAAGAGGCTGCATGCCACAGAATGTAGTTAGAAATGCAGTGCTTTCGAAGGGTGATGGCAGGATTTTCAGTCTTGCTATTTTAGCTCACAACAGCCGTGTAGGGGTGGATTGAGTTTCCAAGTTGCACAGTGCCTCGCCATTGCAAAGCAGCCCTATCGATCTGGTGCTGTTAGGGTCATCTTTGGGGGGTTTTGAAAATGCAGAGAGGTACAGCCAGCTAAAGCCATCTTCATACAAATGTCAGAAGCAACAGATCAATCTTGTTTTTCAAAAGCTAATGATGTAGAAATTCAAATAATCAAAATTCAAATAATTCAATGATGAAAAAGCCATTAGTTTGGTACCTGCAAACTATTTTAAAACTTCAGGTGTAATAAAAAAAATTTACCTGAAGAAATTCTCTTTGTAAGTTTCTGGTTGTGGTGCTGTCTAATTTACAGAGCACTTGTGCACGAGTTTGTCTTTTCTGTTGCCTTGAACTCTTTGGAACTGAGGAAACAGTAATTTCTTCCTCTCCCCTTCCCCCCATTCCTTTTTTCTAAAGGATTATTAAATGCTTAGAGTACAAATGCTGCACATGAATATTTATAAGAACTTTTATAACATTTAGCAAGGCAGTGCTTTATTGCTGTCTCTTTCTGAATGCACATAATAAAGTATCCATAATTTTTTTGAAGCTGCACTTGCTCTTTATTCATTTGATCGCAGATCAGTAGGAACTGTAGGCTCCTCGGGGCTGTAGGGCTGCAGTTATCGGCGATGGCAAAATACCCAAGGTCATTGCTCTGTTTCCCTACTTTTCTCTTAAAATGCTTGTATTTAACATTTAATAAGAATGCAGTTTTCACGCATCATTTACATTTTAAGTTGCAGAAAATTGCTAGGTCAAAATGTGCTACCTGTACTGGAAAAATACCCTTTGGTCCTGGAAGAAACAGGGTTAAATATCTTCTGCTTGCAATACTAACACTGTTGAACAATTAAATGGCCCTGGGGCGCACTCCACTTGGAGGATCCTCCTGTTAACACAGAAAACGTTTTCGTCTCCACTTCTTCCTCTGCACATTGTCTCTGCACATTGTCTCTTGGTAGCAGCATGTCCTGTGAATACCTAATACTGTACAGAATGCCTCATGGTGTAATGCGCCCATTTCTAAAACCCAAATGGAAACCAGTAGCTGTTAATAGCAGTATTTATCCCCTTGACGTCCTTAAAGAATTTTGATCAGATTAAGCACATGAGCAGTCTAAGGAGAGGAGAAAGAAGACTTTAGAGATAGGCAAAAGGGAGGGGGGAATAGAGTTTGTTGGTTTATCAAAACTGAAGATCATTTTAGAACTGGGTTTGGAAGTTCCTTCCTCATAACATTACATCTAACTTTCCATCGTTCCTAAAGCCACGGTTGTGGGCAAAGCCATATCATCTCACGTGGCGTCAGCTACAACAGGTATCCAGAAGCACCTAGCGGGGCTTTAGCATGTCATTGCTAGCTATATTCTGATAGACTGGTTTCTGTAGAAATAGGTTTTAAACATTCAGTGGGTTTACATCTTTCACTGAGATAAGCTGGCTGTCAAAATTAATTTTTCCTGGGATTCATTACTTACAGGTTTGGGAGGTTTTTATCATATCTTTTCAGTTTTAAGTCCTCTTTTATCCAGCCACACTTATTTTAGCTTTCTGCCTGTGATGCGTACATCTTGTAGATCTCAGTGTGAAGATCTCAGAAGTACACCAACGTATTTCATACTTGTGAATTTCTTCCTTTGTGTGTGTGTGTGATTATAAATATGTGTAATATATACTTCTCTGCTACTACAGTATACAAACTACACAGGCATATTTTTAAAGGCAGCATTATTTATGTAACCTTAACTACTACTATACTTTACTTTCAGATAGTGATTTCAGTTTCTTTTCCAAATGTTTTGGGCACAGCAGTTTTTAGAATCACTTTCACGATTAGAAAAGGAGAACAGAAAGAGAACTGAATGTCGACAAGCAGTTTATGTTTCAATTAATGTTTTGTATACTTGCAGTATTACATTTATCCCCATATATTACAATAACAGTACTGAAGGAAAATAATACTCTCAGTTGTGCTTTAGTTCCATTAGCAAAACTCTTAAGCCAGCCACCTGATGTGTAACCTTCAAACACATAAGATTCTCAACTTGGTTACCTCTGCAAGGAAAGCATGTACTCACCTGAGATGTGATCGAGTATCTTTAGCAGCAGTAGTAATGCGGAATCTTGATGTAACCGTCCAATGTTTGCATCTGCAAGAAAACAGAGGTATTGGCCACATTGTTGTGGGATACCTTACCAAATCCATCCAAACAGCTTAAAAAAATTACAGTCTTTGGACAATGGTAACTGCAAGAGTTTTTGAATCACATTCTTCATGGGGAAGACTGAAATTGGACTTAAAAAAAGTTTGACAGCTTTTCCTAATTTCTTTCTTTACACTTTATTTTTAGAGTGTAAAAATAAAGTGTGCACCAGGAAATGAACAGGCATACCAAGCAGTAAGATTCCAGAGATCTTTTGAGGCTTTCATTTGTCTATGGATCCTGGCATATTAAAGGTTTACGGAGATTTAAGGCAGAATTTATTTTATTACTTTTACATAGCCTCAAACTAGTTCTTCCATCACACCCTATGAAATAAAAAACCCTCCTTCAAGTAGCAAACTTACTGCTAGAGCTTCATCTCTTAGAACTGGTTACTGCAGAACAGCTACGTTGCGAAAAGGGAATGCACGGGCAGCATGAGGAATTTGCTTTTTTCCTTCTTTAGCTCAGCACTGCAGACATTAAAGATGATGTTGCCTAATTTCAGCAAGCA